AAATGGACTAGTTCTTATATAGCGCTTTTCCACTCTTCTGAGCACTCAAAGCGCTTTACACAACTTGTGCATTCACCCATTCACACCCATTCGCACAAGCACAACTGACATTCACACTCCGATGAATGCATCGGAGAGCAATTTCGGGTTAGTATCTTGCCCAAGGATATTTGGCATGCAGACTAGGGGAAGCCGGGAATCGAACCACCAACCTTCCGATCAGTAGATGACCTGCTCTACCACCTGAGCTACAGCCACCCCATTAAGTACACACACTGTGGCTACAACTGTAGCTTGCCTTCCACCAGTGTGTGAATGTGAGAGTGAATGAATAGTGGAATTGTAAGCGCTTTGAGGGTCCTGAAAAGCACTATATAAATGCAATCCATTATTATTATTATTATTTATTATTAAGTTGTTATTACTATATATAATCTATCATTGTCAGGGCGACCAATGGTGTATTCCACTGGGATGCAGTCCATGGAAACCAAACCGTGTCTACAGACGTAAGGAGCAGCAAGCAGAAATCACCTTCCTGCGGCACCAGGCCTACCCTTTGGACCCTAAAGATGGTCAACTCTCATGTGATCAGGGTAAGACGAATGAACATCATCATCATCTCCTCTGGGTCAACTATGGTGAAAAAATCAATATGCCCCTATTCCCCACTTTTTTTTACATTTTTTTAATACAGTAATTCATTCTGACTGTGTGTTCTGCCTTTGTTTTGTCTAATTTAGTTTACATGTTAAAAAGATACCCACCCTATGAACTTGACACTTTAGTTTCCACTGCCATTTTAGGATTGATTTTCCACTTCAGATTTTATAATTACTGGGATGTATCAGACGTGACTCCCTTGTAGAACATCACACAGATCCAATTAGTAACCAGTGTTACCACTTACAGGTACATAATTGTTCAACTTTATTTTTTAGTTAGACTGGTAGACAGTGAAAAACATCCTATCAGGATCATGATGGACGTTCCCAGAAGAGGCAGAAACAATATGAAATGTAATTGAAAATATTTTTGCATTGTTTCTCACATACAATCATATTGTTTCTCACATATGATTGTATAAGACCACTGTGTAATCAATTAATTTCAACAAAGTAACTGTATTCTGAATATCACCTTTTTAAATAGCAACTGTAACTGAATACAGTTACTCGTATTTTGTATTTTAAATATGTAACACCGGTACATATATTCCATTACTCCCCAACACTGTTGACAGATGATGTTGACAAACTACATTAATGTTTTTCACAGATGCTTAGAACATAATTATTAACATATATCACGAATGAAAGCTTCATTGCCGTAGTATACAGAGGATACAAATGACCAGTGCACCGGGCATTTCATGGCACATTATTATAAACCATAGCAGTTTCATAGTACACATCAGCTAGCTGAACAATTACTTTCAAATCCAGCCCCTAGATTTTACAGTATCATATAACACAATCACAAAGTAGGTGCTGATTCTGGAGCAAAGACACCTGTCAATGAAAACCCGTGATCGTGTTGGGCAATACAAGACATCTGACTTTAATATGCTCAGACTTAGTCTGTGTAATACTATAGGTTTTTTTTTCTTTTTTTTTTTTTTTTAAAGAAATACCAGGAGGAATTTCCAGATGTTCCAATTGGATATTCTGGTCATGAGAAAGGGATCTTCATCACTGTGGCTGCCGTGGCGATGGGAGCAAAAGTTGTGGAACGCCATGTGACCCTGGATAAGACCTGGAAGGGAAATGACCATGAGGCATCCCTGGAGCCCTCCGAGCTGGCAGAACTGGTCCGAGCAATACGACTGGTGGAAACAGCAATGGGGTCACCAGTCAAGCAAATGTTACCATGCGAGAAGACCTGCCATGATAAGGTCAGTTTGAGTCATTTGACTTGAGTTTTGAAATTCTATCATGTCATAACACTATCAAACCAGTCCTTGTTAACTGTGTTTACTTCCACCCTCTTCAGTTCACTGAACATCCATAACTGTGCAAATTTGCAAAACGTACATGAGCTGGATTAAAATACATCTTTTATGTATTTCTATTCTTTTTCTACTCCAGTTGGGCAAGTCAGTCATTGCTAAGGTGAAAATCCCTAAAGGAACAGTGCTGAGCCTGGACATGTTTGCAGTGAAGGTTGGTGAGCCAAAGGGTATCCCTCCAGAACATATGCAGCAGCTCGTGGGCAAGAAGATCAAAGTGGACGTTGAAGAAGATGACAGCATCTTGGCAGACATGATAGAATAAAGGATCTTCCCAAACTATTGGGACAGAGAGGCAGGCAAATAGAGGATAGAAAATAAAATAGAGTTACATAGGCAGGTAGCTAAAAAATGGACAGATAATGATGTCATTTGTGAACAGAAAGGGATATGGTGCATTTAATGAGGGATAAGACAAATGTGAATATTATTGAACTTGAAACATATGTCTGGGTGAAGTTACATGGCAGTTTATGACCTTTATGTAATTTGAATAAATGTAAACACTTTTTTTTTTTTTTTTTTTTTTTTTTTTTTTTTATTTTTTTTTTTTTTTTTTTTTTTTTTTTGGTTTTTTTTTTTTTTTTTTTTACATTTATTTTTTTTTTTTTTTTTTTTATTTTTTTTTTGTTTTTTTTTTTTTTTTTTTTTTTTTTTTTTTTTTTTTTTTTGTTTTTTTTCTTAAGGCCACAGGCCTTTCATGAGGAAATACTCACACTACCAGCCTTGTCCAAATTGAGACATCTATCAGAGTTTCTCAACCAGTAATAAGATTCACATATTTGTCATACTAATCCAGTTTGACACAATTTCTCCCAATTATACAAAACACCTATATGTATGCAGCGCATGTGTCAGGAAAAATATTGTGAAATGATCTAGGGGACTTCATATACAATTTCTCTTAATCATCCAGGTGTCACATGTGGGCTATAACTGTAATCAAATGTTTCTGTAATTTTAATACTTCAAATAAACAAGGCTTTAAAGAGCTCTGTATTCTTGATTGTTCATTAACAGTTTACAAATAACACTGAAATCCATCCAGCCATCCATCCATTCGCTTCCACTTATCCTTTTCAGGGTCGCTGGAGCCTATCCCAGCTGTCATAGGGCGAGAGGCGGGGTACACCCTGGACAGGTCGCCAGTCTGTCGCAGGGCTAACACACAGGGACAGACAACCATTCACACCTATGGGCAATTTGGATTAATCAATTAACCTATCCCCACAAACTGCATGTCTTTGGACGGTGGGAGGAAGCCTGGAGTACCCTGAGGAGAACCCACTGCAAACACGGGGAGAACATGCAAACTCCACACAGAAAGAATTGAACTCAGGACCTTCTTGCTGGGCAGCAACAGTGCTAACCACCGTGCTGCCCCAAACTTTACCAAATTAACAAAACAGAAAATGCTATTGCATGCTACATTTAGGCTGTTAATCCAGTCTCATTTTGTGGCAACCCTGAAAAAGACCTATGTTTTATTGTTTTCTTTTGGACTGAAACAGTGGTTATATCGCATCAGCAGAAGCTTCTCAAACCTTCTATCAGACATTCTGTTCCTTTTTGGGGAAAGCACCAATCCACCTAAACTGAACAGCCGTTCCACTGGTGCACTGGATGGAGTTGGACTGTTGTATTTCATGTACATCTTTTTGAGATTTGGGAACTGATTCAGAATCTCAAGCTCATACACTGAGGGCTGGTCTCAAATTCAAACAAGTCAATTTCGGCTGGGCTGGCTGGCCGTTGGGACACATAAACATTGTCAGTTGCAGGAGCAACTTTATGACACTCTGCTGTGAGATCCTTCATCTTTCCTTCTTCCTTCACATGCTCTCTCCAACACTCTCCTAGTCAAGAAGTTTAAACTTGGGACAAGTGGCGGCTGCGAAAAGTCCTTCTTAGCTATCCAGAACAGCATCAAAACAAGTCTTGATTGCCTGTAACATACAATATGATGCAATCTAAGAATAAAATTATTTTACTATATAATTACCTTTGTAATTATTTTGTAGGTTTACTGCCCTAAACCATCTTATTGTTCTCAATACTGTATGAGATTTAAATTTGTTGAGGCTTTTGTTGATATTATGATTAATATTCATGATTAATGATGATCAATATCCCTGATAGTTAACAAGGGGTGATACTTGGTTTATTCTTCTTTAATAATTGCACACACGCTTAAAACAAAGGTATACATCCACCCACCATGGAATGGTATAATAAATTTAACAAATCCACCCAAAGCAATTAATAATAATCTTACCTTTACAATGACATCTGGAAGGCTGGCTGTCATTCTAGAGAGGTCATCTTTCAGGGCAAGCGTCTTTGACATCAGGCTTGTGAGTGTTGGCAGTAAAGCCCCGTAGGTGCACTCATCCCCTTGTAAGATGTCCAGGGCCACTGTCAGGGGCTTCATCACAGTACAGTACTCTTTCAAGAACTGGTACTCCCTTTCATTAAGGCACTTGATTCCCAGTTTTACACACAGGGGATTAAGTTCATTCAAGGGAATTGTGATGATTCTAGAAATGGCCTCATACAGGGAATTCCACCTTGTGGATGTCGGTACCATTAGTTTCCTCCGACTGACTTCCTCCACCTGTTCAGAGGCTAATGTTGATCGACTTGCTTTAGTCCAAAGAGCAGAACATTTTGCAATGCTACTCCTATATACAGCCTTGGTGTCTGCACAGGAATTTAGATGTTTGTCAACATCGCTTGTTGAAATCAAGTTAATTGTGTGCGATGCACATCTGTAGTGTGGAGGGAGGCTAAACTGTGCATCACCAGATGCAGTTGAAAGAGCTTCTATGACATCAGTAAAGGTCGGTTCCTCGTCATCACCTTCTTCATTTTCAGATTCAGACTCCAAATGACAGGGCTGACATACTCTAATGCTTTGGCAAAATTGGATGCATTAATCCGTTACAGTGGCAATACTTGCTTGAAGTCCATATGATGGGAATCTCTGCTCCATTACATCATAGGTATGGCTGCCTCTGATTCTCTTGCATGCTAGGCGGACCTTGTTGCGTTGTAATGTGGAATTAATCCAGTGAACTGTTACACCCATAAAACTTTTATTATTTACCGTCCAGATGTCAGCAGTGGTGGAAACAAACTCTGCCTCTTCGAGTGTAGCCTTCAAGTTAGAGTTCATTTTGTCATATTCTCTCTCAAGGTATCCTACAAATGACTTTCTCTGGGGCAGCTTGACACCACTTTTAGTTGTATTTTTTCTATGATGTGTTGGAAATTTTTCGCTGTAGAAAGAAGTTTTCTTCCCACGCAGAGTGTACAGCGGACACCGATGTTTTTTTTTTTTATCACTTTTTGGTACTCTAAAGCTTTAAACGCTGCATGGTCGTACTCCCCCCCACGCTCCCTATTATGCATTGTTGATCTACACACATGTCTGTTGCTACCACGGATGTCGCACGCTCGTACTTCATTATCAGCTTCTTCCACCAGGCCATCAGACTGCTGAACACGTCATAGACACCTCAGCTTCACTACTGGAACTTCAACACTATGCACTCCACACTGTATATAAATGCCACTTGTTTTGCACATATTCAACTCTGTATATTTTTATATATTTCATTTATTATTATTATTTTTTTACTATTTAATTTGTAAAATGTGTATACACACACACACACACACAACACACACACACACACACACACACAGGAAAATGTTTAGTATACACATCCAGAAATGCATACACTATTATATATTGTACATATATTTATTAGTTTCAGATGTAGCCATTCTTGTATTTGCTGGTTTGTGTTGTTGTGTTTGCACATTCTGTTGCTTGTGGGCTCGCACACAAGAATTTCACTCGCATGTGCTGTGCCAGTGTGCCTGCACATGCGATGTGACAATAAAAGTGATTTGATTTGATTTGATTTGATCATGAGACATTCTCAGAAACAAAATCACAGTTTAGTAACGCATCATTGCAGCGTGCTTATGGGAAATTAACAGTATCTAATTACTTTTTTTCAAAAGTAATCCCTTACTTTACTCGTTACTTGAAAAAATAATCAAGATTCTGAATTTTTGATCATGAAAGGAAGGTTGGAGATTGGCCTATAATTAGCTAATGACTCATGGGTCAAGAAATGGCTTTTTAGGCAGTAAGGTTTAACTACTGCCAGCCTTGAAGGCTGTGGTACATAGCCTGATATTAGAGATAGGTTGATCTATTTAAGATGAAGCATTACATTAATGGCAGGAACTTCTTTGAGTTTGAGGAATGGGGTCTAAAAGACACGTTATGGTTTGGAGGAAGTAATTATCTGAAGTTAACTCAGGAAGATCAATTGGAGAAAAAGAGTAGCTGTAGATAATAATGTTACATCTGTGAGATGGATAGGAGTAATTTCTGAGCCAAGGTGTGAAAATGGGTGTAGATCACAATCAGCCAAGGTTTTGGGTGAGCTCATTGTGAAACCTAGCCCCACCCTATCATATGTGAGGCCCCACCCCACCCTATCACCTTCTCGGATGAGAGGTGAAACGTCTTCAAGCAACTTCATGACCTGGATGACTGAGAACCTTGACAGACAAGTCATTATTAGTTAAATTTAAAGGGATGGTTGGCTCAACAGTGCTATGACTTTTATTCAGCCTGGCTGCAGTGCTAAAGATAAACCTAGGGTTGTTCTTATTTTCTTCAATCAGTGACGAATAGTAAGATGTTCTAGGACTTTCTTATAAAACAACAAGCAGGCTAAATGATGATCTTCTAAATTTGTGACGCGCCATTTACTCTCCAGCTTACTAGTTATCTGCTTTAGGCTACATTTTTGAGAATTATACCAGGGAGTCAGGTACTTCTGATTTGAGGCTCATTCTTGACAGCAGCTACAGTATCCAGTGTCATACGTAGTGAGGAGGCAAAATCAGTAACAACATAATCAACCTCTGTTTTAGTGTTCAGGTAGCTGCTCTGCTCTGTGTTGGTACAGGGTATTGACAATGATAACAGCATGCAAATTATTTTCTTAAACTCAGTTACAACACTTTCAGAAAGACATAGTCTGTGAAGAAATCTACTCTCCACTGGTTTGTAATCAATTATTGTTAATGTAAATGTTATCAGGTGGTGTGTGGGTTCTTTTACATTTTGATAAAAGCCAATTAAGTCTAATAACAGATTAAATGCTGTGTTGAGGCTATCATTTTTAGCATCTGCATGGATGTTATAAATATATAATTATTTTATCTGAGCTGAGCACTATCAGATAAAAAGTCTGAGAAATCAGAGAGACACTCTGTGTCATGCCCAGGTGGTGGCACAGCTGGGGCAGCAGTCGTGTGGAGGTGAGAAGGAGGATCCAAATAGGAGACAGCGGCAGAGGTGCAAGTGAGTTTATTTACAGTGAAAAATAACCATAGCGAGGGCAGAACTGAACATAAACCTAAACTGGGAAAAGCTAATAATAACAAAACCATAACTC